CTTTAGCAGATCGTCCCCCAGACACTCTCGTTGAAAACATAAAAGACGTCTATAGACGTCTTTGGCAGCCAATGAGTAAAAAAAAAAAAATTGCTTTCAGATCTACCCGCCCATCAATGTGCTGCCCTCGCTGTCCCGTCTGATGAAGTCTGCCATCGGGGAGGGGATGACCAGGAAGGACCATGCCGACGTGTCCAACCAGCTGGTGAGGAACCCCTGCCTAAGCCCCGCCCATAACCCGCATAAGCCCCGCCCATAGCCCCGCCTACAGTGTTAGGGAGTAACGGATTACATGTAACGACGTTACGTAATTTAATTACAAAAAAAGAGGTAACTGTAATTCGTTACAGTTACAATGAGAAAATATGTAATTGAGTTACAGTTACAATGAGAAAATATGTAATTCAGTTACAGTTGCTTCCGAAAATATTAAGAATTACAAATTTAGTTACATTTTTTAAAAAATATAAAGGAAAAACCTTTGCGAAATATGCAACTCACTGATAGACGAAGCGTATTGATTTACTAATATTTGACTGTTTGGTGTTGATGCATCTATGACCTAGCCTAGACTACCTAGCCTAGACTACCTAGCCTACCCAACTGTAGGGTGACCAGACGTCCTCTTTTTCCCGGACATGTCCTACATTTCAGACTAGGGTTGTCAAAAGTATCGATACTTAAAAAAGTATCGATACTAAAATGTTGTATCCGGATACGATACTCATTTTCAAAAGTATCGATACCACCCCCCTTCTCTCTGATTTATTTATGTGTTTATTTACATTGTTTATGATCATTAACAAGACGTTAGCCTTATGCTGCTAGCTGCGGCCAATAGCTAATAATAACATGCTAAAATTGATCATGGGTCAATACTCATTAAAACCTTAAAGTAATCAAAAAGTAATCAAAAGTAATTAGTTACATTACCTTTTAAAAGTAGTTTTAAACAAGGTAACTTGTAACTGTAACGGCTTACATTTTTAAAGTAACTTACCCAACACTGCCCGCCCATAACCCCGCCTAAGCCCCGCCCATAACCCCGCCTAAGCCTCTCCCTGTCTGCAGTACGCCTGCTACGCCATCGGTAAGGACGTGCAGGCCATGAAGGCCGTGGTGGGAGAGGAAGCCCTCACCTCCGACGACCTGCTCTACCTGGAGTTCCTGCAGAAGTTTGAGAAGAACTTCATCGCTCAGGGTGAGAACAGGCCGACGCATTTAGGCTCCAGGTTTTGACGTACATGTCTTTAGAACAGTGTTTGGCCAGTGGTTGATTTGTTCGGAGCGAAATGTTCCTAGAAGCACGGCTTCAAATGTCCCTTGTGTGTATTGCGTACTCCTCATAATCCAAAAGAGATAACTTCAATTCAGTTCAGTTTTATTCCTATACAGTGGGGGAAATAAGTATTTGACCCGTTGCTGATTTTGCAGGTTTGCCCACTTACAAAGAATGCTTATTTTTCCTCATCAGATGGTTATCAATTTTTATAAATTCACATGACGTGATTTTCTGAAATTTTCTTTGGGATTCTGTCTTTCACTGTTAGAATGTACATATGATTAAAGTTATAGATCGTTGCATTCTTTGTAAGTGGGCAAACCTGCTAAATCAGCAAGGGGTCAAATACTTATTTCCCCCAATGTAGCTCCAAATCCCAAGAACAGTTATCTCCCAGCTTTCCAAACAGAATAATAAGTCAGACCAACTCTGAAGTTATTTACAGAAGAACAACAGTTCCCAACAAGAGCAGCACTAGGAGACCCAGGGAAGGAAAAACTGCCTTTAGGAGGAAGAAACCTGGAGCAAAATGTGCGGCCATCTGTTGATTTGTTTGGAGCGAAATGTTCCTAGAAGCACAGCTTCAAATGTCCCTTTTGTGTATTGCATAGTCCTCATAATCCAAAATAGATAACTTCAATTCAATTCAGTTTTATTCCTATAGCTCCAAATCCCAAGAACAGTTATCTCCCAGCTTTCCAAACAGAATAGGTCAGACCAACTCTGAAGTTATTTACAGAAGAACAACAGTTCCCAACAAGAGCAGCACTAGGAGACCCAGGGAAGGAAAAACTGCCTTTAGGAGGAAGAAACCTGGAGCAAAATATGCGGCCATCTGTTGATTTGTTTGGAGCGAAATGTTCCTAGAAGCACAGCTTCAAATGTCCCTTTTGTGTATTGCATAGTCCTCATAATCCAAAATAGATAACTTCAATTCAATTCAGTTTTATTCCTATAGCTCCAAATCCCAACAACAGTTATCTCCCAGCTTTCCAACCAGAATAGGTCAGACCAACTCTGAAGTTATTTACAGAAGAACAACAGTTCCAAACAATAGCAGCACTAGGCGACCCAGGGAAGGAAAAACTGCCTTTTAACAGAAACCTGGAGCACAACCATGGGGGGGAGGACAAGGGATGCACAGTAAAACATAGACTGGATTAGCAATGGTCCAGATATTGATAGTAATGATAACGATAGCAGTAACAATAAGACTATTACCAGGTGCCAAGCAGAAAAAAAACACAAAAAAAGGCCAGATCAGTCGAATGTTAACTATCAGGACTGGTCCAGCCACCAATTTGAAGCCGTTCAGTGGAAACAAGGTGAGCATGAGTGCTGTCAGAAACGCATTTAAGCCGCATCGTTTCCTCTATTACAGCACGTTGCTGTGGGAAAAAAAAAAAAAAAAAGAGGTGCTTGTTGTGGAATTCATATTGTATTTTTGAGTTTAGCCTTG